CTCACAGGCCTGTGATGCTGCTGGCCGCGGGGTGGGGCCTGCTCCGGGGCGCACGGCAGGGCCCCCGTTCCCCGTCCTCGTCCGGGTGAGGAGGGGGCCGCCCGCCCGCGGGGGTCTGGGTGTCAGGTGTGATGGGGCCTCCAGTGGGGGCCGGTCCCCTCCAGCTCCTCGCTCCCCCCGGGTCCCCGGGGCCTCTAGGGAGGCCCAGGCCCACCCAGCTCCCCTCACCGGAGGGGACACCTGTCCTCTGGAGCCCCAGGGACCCCTTCCCGTGGGGGCACGGCCACGCGCTCGCCCTGTGGCCCCCCACCGTGCCCATGCCCAGTCACGCAGACCCCACTGTAGGGACTCTAGAATGGGGCCCTGGGGTAAACTGCGAGATTTTCTGGGGATCCCCAGGGCTAGCGCCTGCTGCCAGTGAGCCTGCACCCCCACTGTGTGGCCAGGGACCCTGGGTCAACACTCAGCCAAGAGCCAGCGCAGACCCCACCAGGAGGCGAGCACCCCGCGGCGGGGAGGGGGGGCGGGGGCCGCCGGCTGGGCTGTGGCGGGAGGGGCCCGGGGGCGGGGGCTCCCCAGGCCAAGGCTCCCCGCGTGGTGTGACCGCCACACGCCCAATTACCCCGAGAGGCTCCCATTGATCTGCCGGTCGGCGGGTCCAGGCGCCCTGCTCCGCTGGCCGCCGCCTCTTAGGGCTAATTGCTCTGACATTTCAGCTCTGACGGGTGGGGGGTGCTGCCTCAGCGCGGGGTCTCACTTCTCCCAGCGTGGGGGATGGTAGGCGCTGCTTCCCTCTGCCAGGGCCCCCCGGAAGGGGCCCGCGCCCCAGGCTGGCCCCCTTCTGCAGGGGAGGGCTGGGGAGGGGAGGGGAGACCCCCGGAGGCCCCCGGCTCTGCGCCCCGAATGGCCTCGGCCGATGTGAGGGCTCAGCACGATGTGGGGTGTCCGCGGCAGGCCAGGGGCTGGCAGTGGCCGGGCGCCTGCGGGCTGGCGCGAGGGTCTCTGCCCAGAGCAGTGACGGGGGCGCCC